CTTCTGCCACTTTTAGTCACAATTCTGGAATTAATTTTAGATTTATTTTTTTTTTCATGCAGAAAGACAAATCCTAATTTGTTAACAAGGCAACAGAGCTCATGACTCAGGAGTCAGTTCATCATGATATAAATATTCAGCCCTGAAACAAACAGCCCACGTTCCTTTTCATGTACTTGAATGGCCGGTGCCAACTTTGCAAGAGAAATGCTATTGGATTTTTCTTTGGGTAATGTTTGCCCTCAGATGTCTTGTAGGAAAACAGTATTGTGCATCATGAAACTGTTTTGTGCACATTCTCTATATAAAAGTAGTTGAAAAAAACTGCTTTTAAAATCTCATATTCATGTACTCAAGGGAACAAACAAAATTATGATAGAATTTCAGAAATTGTCAGTATCTTTGATTATTTTGCAAGAAAACAAAAAGATTTAATAATTTCCTGTGCCTTCTGCCATACTAAAACGATAGTAAATCTTCCTGCAACTACAACCAAAAACCAGTGCTGCACCTAGCTTATGTCTATGGGAGAAAAAAAACTTGCCCTTTCAGAGCTGTTCAAGAATTTCCCTCTCTGATGAAGCCCTGATGCTGCTGTTGTTTTTACCCAAACTTTGCTGTGATTTGCACCAGTGAGATTTTGGGGTGGGGTTTTTTTTTTCTGGTTGCAAGTAAGAGATTATCTATCTGGTGGTTCTGTAGAGATCCTAAGACTTATGACAGGGAACAAGAAGAGAGCATCCCTTACAGGCCTCCAAATCCCTAAAACTGTGTGAATTGTGGGAAATCCACTGAGAATTGGGACTGTCTACAAATCCCTCATTTCTCTACCTGTCAGGCAGAGTGTCACCACTGTCAGCAGCTGCCTTTTTAAACAGTTCTCACATGTTCAGCTGAACCTACCCAAGTCAGCCATGCCTGTTCTCTGCTTTTTTACATAACCAGCCCACTACATTGAGGTGGTCACCAGAGGGACTTCTGCTTCACAGGGCCCAGCAAATCATAGAATCATAGAATCATAGAATCTTAGGGGCTGGAAGGGACCTCGAGAGATCATCTAGTCCAACCCCCCTGCCAGAGCAGGGTCACCTAGAGTACATCACATAGGAACTCATCCAGGTGGGTTTTGAATGTTTCCAGTGAAGGAGACTCCACAACCTCCCTGGGCAGTCTGTTCCAGTGCTCTGTCACTCTTACAGTAAAAATTTTTTTTTCGGATATTCACCTTGAACCTCCTATGCTCCAATTTACACCCATTACCCCTTGTCCGACCACTGGTCATCACTGAGAAAAGCCTAACTCCGTCCCCCTGACACTCACCCCTTACATATTTGTAAACATTGATGAGGTCCCCCCTCAGTCTCCTTTTCTCCAAGCTAAAGAGACCCAGCTCCCTCAGCCTTTCCTCATAAGGGAGATGTTCCACTCCCTTCATCATCTTTGTAGCTCTAAAATGAATAGGAGAAATATATAATGTCCTTCTCTATTGCGGAAGCCCCTAGACTGTGAAAAGTTTGTGGAAATGCAGATATGCTGGCTAAAAATAGTTTGTGGAATGCCATAGATTACTTTTGGTTTTGGCAATAGACGCACCAGAGTTCTGGGATTGGTTATGCTTCTTCCTTTCACACAAGTCATTGTTAGAGCATTTACTCAGGATGCTAAAGATGGTGTCTCTGTTTCCTCCCTGCCTGTGGGGTTTCCTACTGGTAGAGAGCCCCAAGTGCCAATCTGCTGAGGTTCTGGATTCTAGCCATTGGTTATCTCATTATTTATAGAAAGTGGAAACATTTTAAGAGATGAAATCTAGAATATGCCTCCTTCAGGAGGAAATACAGGGTAGGATTCCTTGGAACTGATGAAAAAATTGTCTTAGTACATCCCACAGCTTGGCTCTCTGAGCTGCATTGCTGTCAGGTAGATTAAATATAATTTCTGTACAGTTACATATGCTGTAAAACATGACACTGGCACAGGCTGTGTGCCTAGAAGTATGAGGATTAGCCCCACCTAGTCTGCTTTCAGACAGGATTGTGTTTCACTTAGATTTTAGTGGCTGGTGCTAACATAGTCAGTTCTTCCAGAGAAGTCAGAGGTCTTGTTGAACAGGAACATAAAAACTGAAAATAAGTCAATTAAGACACAATCTTACAGTAATTGCTACAGTTCTTTCAGCTTTAGTTTGCTGCCTGAAGAGTTAAACAGTTCAAAGGCAGTCTCCTTTGGAGAATGTTTATTTGATCAAGTTCAGTGTGGCTTAGACCCCAAACAGAAATGCTAGTTTCAAACAGAGCACTACTATGAAAGTAGGAATAGTGTGTGGCCTTCCAGACCTCACAAGCTATGTTGATTTGTTACACAGAGGCAAAACAAAGATGCCCCTTAAAACACATATACATTAACTCAGTGCATTTCACACACCACAATCTCAGAACTGCTTTTCTTCCTGCTCATTTGGGCTGTGCCAAAGTCACTGAGATCCTGGATGAACTACAGACTTCTCAGTATAATGCATATAAGGTATGATTGGACCACTGAAGCTATTTAGACCATTAGAAAACAGACTTTGAGTGCTACTGCTCCTATTTACTAGGTTTGAAGTACCACATCCTTTGGATTTGGGAACACAGCTTTTCTTTGCTCCTTGAGTCTCTTTACATTGCAGAAAGTAGGGTAAGGAAGAACCCAGTGAGTGCTTCTCTTAACTGGAGCTTGGAAGATCTTAGCTTTGGGGTGTTGTTTTTTTTTAGGTCCTTAGCTGGCTGAATCTTCAGATTTCTAATAAAGGCTCTAAGCCTTAAAAAAGCATTATTAATACGTGATGAGATACACCAAGTACAATCACTTAATAGAACAGTCAAACTCATGCAGATGCTATTAGTACAGGAACTTGATATCTTGCCAAATCTGGAGAGTTATCTTTGATCTATCTCCAGATCCTCCTTTTATTTGTAAACATTCAGCTAATCACAGACTTCCTCTGACTTTTATGAAGTGGAAGAAACTGCATCCTTTGTAACATCTCTGAAGGGCTGTAACTTTGCAGATGTTCGTGGATTGTGGTGTGCTGGAGCTCTTAGCCCCATCTGGTGGCCAACTGGGAACGTGGAGCTTTCTATTGGCAGGGCTCAAGGGTTTCTACATTTGGGCAGAGTTCACTGTAAAGAGTGAAGCAGAACCTCTTGCAGCTCTGCATACCTAAAACACCTTCTGTTTTTCGGGTAGCTAGAGGATTTTAGAGTCTGGAAGAAGGGCACAAGATTCTACCTCTAATCTAGCTTGCTGTGGGCTAACAGTTACTACCAGTTCCAGCAGTTCTGCAGTGTTCACAGCTCTGTGCATAAACCACGCCACCACAGTTGGCACTGATTAACAGTATTTCTGCAGCCTCATCACCAAAATGCAATTTAATATTTACAGGCAACCCAGCTTCCCACACTTAGAGGTGGTCCCACATGGTGTAGTTGGTGTATTTGAGGGTGGTGGTGCAAAGGAGCTCAGCCATGCCACATGAGCTGTGTGTTATCTGCAAGTAACAGATCTTTGACTGTAAAATGCAGGCTGGCATCTTAAACAGCAGCATTAAACACTGATGTTGCCTGGGGAAAAATAATGCTCACATTGAATGCTGCAGTGAGAATATCCTTTTTTCTCCTTTGTTAGCTTACAAACAAAACAAGGCATTTCCTCACCCTTGAACTAGTCATGTAAGTGCTACTCAGAGATAACAGCATCAGTCTAATGAATTTGAAGGATGTATTAGGTAGAGACTCAGACTTGCTCCAGAACCAGGAGTACTTTGAAGGCAGCAGTTTGCCCAAGACCTGCTTTCCCAGCCACTGGTGCTAGATTCCTTTTTTGCAACCATCAAGTATGTGACATAGCACATAGATAGAATATGCTGGCTGTTCTGGGCCTGGCATATGCTGTGAGGGTCTGGCCACAAGTCACACAGGGCCTTCTATATGTGCATGGAAGGGAGGAACACTACTCCAGGCTTTCCTCTCAATGGTGTGCCAGGAAATTCAGCCCTGATCTGGCTTTGAGGATGCTATTAACAGGTAAGTAATGCAGACAGCTGACAAACTTGGCTTCACATGCACCCTTGAAGCCTTTCCTGTTCTCCAGTGTAGACACAACCACTCGGTCCAGGGCTGCATAGAAACATGAAGTGTACATTAACCAGAAGGGGGAAAATGGTGTGCTTTGTACAATGTGATTTACATATCCAGAGAAAGAAGTGTACCAAGAAAAAAAACCCTGAGGATTGTCTTTAAAAGTTACATCCACATGTTTCCAATTTCTTGACTGTTCGTATCGACTACAAAGCTGCTTGTTTGTCATAAATTACTTTATGTTTGGTCAAAAGAGACTTACAGGAATTGTAAATAGTTATATTATCTATCTGTGTTTAACTTAAAATAAGGATTAGGGGAGGGAGGTTAAGTAAATATATAACAGTTATCTCTGAACTGGGCAAGGAAGAAAAAAAAAGAAACCCAAACAGAGGCAAATATGAAGCAGCAAGAAGTATTCCAGGGTGGGGATGTTCCAAGCTATGAGAATTCCAGGTTGAGAGGGAATAATACTTGTACAATTTTTTGAGCATCCACTAAGTCAAGCCATAAACCACTGCAATAACACATTATCAAAAATAATTTCTAGGAGGCTTGGGAAGTGAAGTTTTTCCTCAGCAAACCTTTAGCTGTTTTGATAATGGAAGGTGAAGGAGAAAGAAAAATAAAAGTTTTGGAGACAAAACATTGTTTAAGGCTAAGGTGTGTTTTGGTGGGGTAGGGGTTGAAGGAAATTAACCCTATGGCTTTTAAACAGAGTTCTTAACTGTGGTGGGTGCTGTGAATGTAACTGAAGGATGGGTATTAAGAGCAAAACCACATGACAGTGAGGTGGGAGGGACCACATCATGCTAGCAAATACAGAACCAGAGTGCGGGCTTCTGACTTTTAATATTTTTCTTGCATTTCTTTTCTGCATGGCAGTAGTGAAATAGGGACTTCTAAGCTTCTGAACAACTGAGAGAACCAGGTTTGAAGAAGACATGAGGAAGAACTGGTCGGCAAAAGATTTCATAAAAACTCAGAACCACGTGTGCCAGATCTGAACTGGCACCACCTTTGCTTTTTTGACACACTGCAGCAGTCGCAAAAGGCACCAAAGCAGTCAAATTAAAACATGCAGTAAAACTTGGTTTGGACTCCTCTCTGTATTATAAAACTTACTTCCATGTAACATTATTTACACCTGTTGAAAACGAATTTTAAGTGTCCTTTCCTGGAGCAGACAGCTAAAAAAGGCAGATGCCAGGTGTTAAGGCCTGCACAGAAATGAGTTTGCAGAATTTGCTATTCAAGTGCTGGAGTGCTCCTTTCCTGAAATGAGGCTTTGTCAGAGTTTCTGTAAAACCTGTTTAGATTTTTTAGTTCTTACATTAGAAGTGTATGCTTGTGAACTAAACCTTATGTATTTTCAGAGAGCTACAGTGCTAAACTATCAAGTATTAAAAAAAAGAATAAAATTTTTAAAAAAGAAAAAAAGAAAAGAAAAGAAGGAGTAAGAGGTGAACAAAACCGTTAAAAACTGAGGACAGAGGGTCATTGAGGAAGGACAGGATGGTGACCTGATTCCCCCTGCTGCCATGATCATAATTTTCAAGCTGAAGAGGACTTCCCATGGAGCACAGTGCTTGTATGTGACAAAGAAATGGTACTCTGGTCTTATTACAAGAATGGTGAAAAATTTTGACCACCAAGGAGATGAGTAAATGTGGACAAACTTCATGGGGCACAGGGTGCACCTTGTTCTGGATCTAAACCTTGTAAAAGCTGGCTTGAAGAGGAGAATCAGGCATTCATGTTCAGATTTTAGCATTTCAGGAATTCTAATGCATCCAGCTAAATTACTGAGGGGGGGGGAGAAAGCTAACCAGAAAACCACCAAAGCAGTAAATGCTTTAAATTAGGGCCAGCATGGAAGAAAAAGAAGTTAATTTCTTTTGCTTCCCCCAGACAACAGTGGATGAGATTGAGACATGTAAGCAGACTAAACATGCTATATTCTGTAGTTACGCATCTTAACTAATTTTACTCATGACAATAAAAAAGTGTTTCATTGTTCAGTGTAACTGTTATCTCAAGAAGAGTCTGTCTATAATTTTATTTATAGTTGGCATTTTCATTACTGTTGTTACGAAGTGTGTAAAATATTGTCTGTATTGCAGCTTGTATAGGGCATTTGTCTGTGCTTGCTTTACTCTTTGAGTTTATGAAGTTGCTATACAAGATGTTCAGATATCTTTGAATGTGGTTGCTTAATCTAATTACATAGCCCCAAACATTTCAGCATATAGATGTTGAAGGTCTGTTTAACACATAACATCTTTAACATTAATATAGGCACTTTAAAAGCCTTTTGTGGAATATTGGAATGCTGACACTTAGTGGCTGTGCTGAAGCAAAGGGGAAGATGGTGAGTATCTGTGCAAAGCCAGATACTAGGGGGGACTCTGCAGGGAGAAAGCACAGTATAACTGGGAAATCTAGTAGAAAATGCAATGTCCTTTCCATAGACAACAAATAGGACCTTCAGAGTAGGGCCACCACAAAGCAGAGATGTGAAATATGTTTATAGCACAAAGATAGGCCTTAAATAGCATACTAAGTGTAGGGTTTTTTTTGTGACTGTTCTCTTAACTTAGCAATTATTTGTAGTCTGTGTAGTGACATTCCAGGTTAGTTTTCATCATCTTTAAAGCTTATTCTGTGCTTTGATACAGTGTCTTTAATAAAATATTCTTGCAAATCTGCTTATTCTCATTTAATTACATTTTATACCTGAGTTAACAACAGCCCCGACAACAGGGTGAAGTTCCAGTCACCACCTGCTTCATCTGCTCCTGTGTTTTTCCCATTCACCTGCTAAGAGAGACAAGGAGGAAAACTGATAAGTAAAAATCAGTCATAGGAATGAGAAAATAAGATAAATTCATAGCACTGATACAGTTCAGTTATAAATATTCTTCACACTAAGCACATAAGTGAATCTGAGAGATTAATCAAATTATATTAATCTCCGAGTATGAAGTATTTGTCTTTCCCCATGTTCACAGTACAGCATTTCCCTTGTTTAAGACTCATAATAATTTCCTAGCTTTACAGTTGCTGCCAGTAAGTATAGGATGTTGTTTAACCCCTTTCATAGCAGTTGTAGACAAAATGTTTTCATTTATTCAGCTATATTTATTATACTATACAAAGTATCCTTTTAGTATCTTCAAACAAGACCAAGCAGAGTTGGACTTCAAGCACACTAGAAGATAAGATTAGAATTCAGAATAATTCTAGCAAGGTGCAGACATGATCTGAAATAGTAAGAGGTTATTTAATAGGTACAAGAGGAAACTGGAATAATAAACTGTGCAAGTAAAGGAACAGCTGTTTAATGTCTAGTTAAAAGAATCACTGTGTTACTTTGGATCAATTCTGAAAGCGGGTCTGCAGCATCGTGCTGTTGCAAACAAAGGTAAAAACTGAAATGTCTAAACTGGAGAATAATCTGCTTCTTCAGAACTGCTAAGGTGTGAGCTAGTAATGTCTCCAGTGTTTATCTCTGAACTTGAAAAATAAGGTACAGGCTGCATGCAGAGAATCCAGGAGAAAGCAAGAAGAATACCTAGAAGCCAAGAAACCTTTGTCTTTGAGCACAGATTGGATGATTTTAGGTCATCTTACAGAAGAGACAGTAGAGGGGAAACATGATAATTTTCATATAAAGAAAAGCTGGTTGCAAATAAAAATGGAATAACATGTTTTCTCATATCCACAATCAATAGGAATAGAAATAATTGCCTTAAATTGCAAGAAAGTGTATTTTGGTTAGACATAAAATGAGATTAAATAACCTACTGAGGTTCTTTTCTGATCTGATTCTATGATTACTTGCAAATTATTTGCTTTTAAGTCCCTTATTTATTACTCTCAGTAGAGCTGGCACTAGCTGCAAGAAAAGGAGGCGGTAGTTATAGGAAAGAACTGACTGCCTAAAATGCACAGCACACCAATTTATCTAGTTAGCAGTAGTGATACTAACCTCGGCTTTTAATCATACCTTAGCAAACTGTCAGAAGTCTATGTAAATAAATGTGCTTTAAAACCACTTAATTATAAAATAATTATTCCTTGAAACATCAAGCATTAGTTTAATCAGTGTTGACAACTTCCATGATTTTATTTGGTCTAATCAATCTGAAGCAGCCTGTTTTTAGTCATGAGATGGTGTAATCAGCTATTTCATTTATTAAAAAAAAAAAAAAATAATCTCTTCAAATTACATGGGAAATCCTGAAAGTGTAATCTGAACATATGCTAAAGATTAAAAAGTCAGAGGTGAATAAAGCCACGTGTGTTTTTTAAGCTCGTAATTTAAACTAGGTTTATAATTTTAGGAGATCTGAATAATGATTTTTGAACTTCTGGTTTGGCAATTCCAAATTACTGTGCACTATATTCTGCTGTTCTGAATAGTTCCACATTCCTGATCATGCATGTGTGTGGTTTGCTGGGAACACGTTCTACTGATTTGCAGAAATTGATTTTGTTATTCACAAAAACAAAAGAACACTTATTTTAAAAAAAAAGATCAGGAATTGTGCCTGCCTTTCAAATTAACAAGGAGCATCTGTGTGCAAAAAGTGGAGGTATATAAAAGCAAAATAACACAAAAAAGTTATGTTGTTCCCCCGCATAGACTATGATTTTTAACACAATGGCACCTTGTCAGAAGAATCTGTTACCATTTCATATACTGGTAGTTCTTGTCTAAATTCTTTTTGCTAGACATATATTCACAAATATAAGCAAGATTAAGAATTTCAGTGATGAAAGGGTACTATGACAAAGCAGTAGTCATTCTCACAACAGCTATTGCCTAGACTTTTCTGAACTGCTGTATTATAAAATGATTCATTTATCCTCACCAATACAATCTGCAATTATGTTTTCCTAGGGAAATTGATATGAGGGAAATGGATACCAGAATTTAAGGGCTAAGATCCTCAGACTGTCAAACCTGAACAGACCATTGCATTTCAACTTTAGCATTGTAATGATCCAAGTGGCTGATGTCAGACTGAGCTGAAGCTTGCGTTCACTCCTGTTTAATAATACATTGCTTTATGAAATATAAGGGGGCTGAGGGGGGAATCTTCCTTTTATCAAGATAGAGATAAGGGCTGAGTTCTCAGTTCTGCTCCCAGTACGGAGCTCTTGCTTCACTGTAGAAATCTAAATGCCATCTTCATTTCTGGCTGGGTGGTGTCATGGAGAATAGCCTACGGTATGTTACATAGGCTGCCAAACAGGAGACACCGGTGCATTATTGATTCTAAACATAAATAAATAGATCTGGAAGAGGCCTGCAACTTCCAGAGTTGCCAACGTGCTGTTCTAAATATGGCTTACGGATTCAGGATGGGGGAATAACAGCGCATGTTTTGTTAAAGGGAAAATCAAACTTGTGTTGAAGCCCTCACCACAGAACTCACTCTTTAATTTCTGAACCAGTCTGTTTGGCTTACCTATAACATGACTGCATATGAAGCAACATAAAAGAAAATCATGTGGCTCTTCCTATATGACTGCACAGATGAGTTGGTTCACAAATTGTGCTGCGAGTCTTAGAGAACTGCTGACAAAAAAAAAAAAGCAGGCTTGTAATAGCTCTGCTGAGAGGAGAGAATAAGTCTAATGAGGTTTCAGAGGTTGCTCCCTCTAGTTAGACTGGACTTTCCTCAAGGACATCGGTAAGAGATGAGAGATGATGGCAAGAACATCACGTGAACTTCTGATTAGGAACAGAAGCTTAAGAAGTAGCTCAGACCTACACATACTGTTGTACAAGAAGAAAACAGCACTTACATATTCAACTGGAAAAGAAATACTTCTGCAACAGGCTAAAAGCAATGTTTGGTAGCCTGAGTCTACAGACCTTTTGGGTTTTCCTGGTAATGCCCTGAGTGTGTAATTTACACCATTATCATTAACATGGTATGCTCCTACATTCCCCCAAGATCTTTTCCCCAAATTTACTATAGCAAAACAATTCAAATTATGAAATAAA